TCCCTCACTTACATGCACACACATCACATTAACAGAATTTTGAGAATTAAATGGAAGATTTGGCATGTGAGTAGCATGATCTTTTACAGCTAAGAGCCTGTCTCGTCAATCTTTAAAGAGAATTAGTTTAAGAAAAATAAATGCACGAGTTTATCAAAATTTGAATCAGGAAAACAATAAATGGGACATAAGGTGTTATTTAACGGTTGCAGCTTAAAAATACACAAAGCAGAAACACAAAGCTACTTGACAACAGAACAAAGGCAGGACTAAAGAGCTTTAAAGTTTATGTAACTATGCCAACCTGTTGAGGCACAAAATACTGCCCTAAAATGAAAAATAAGTCTGTTTTTTTTTGCAATCATTCATTGCAAAATGTGTCCCTGGTTCCTCTTTAGGATTATGAAATTCATCCCAACACCATGGTGAACAGAAGTGACCCTGTCCTGTGTGGCTGCGTTGTGTTTGCTTCTGGCGAAAAGCCACACTGTTGTATCCAGCACGTGTCAGTCTGATCAAACGATAAGCTCAGCTCCAAAATGGGGACAAATCAGGATGACTCAAATTTGGTGCCCTTGGATGCTCTTTGCTTCGTTAATCCATGTGTCTCAGATTGTCTCTCTGTTTTAGTCCTACATAAACAGAATGTGCTCTAACACTGTGTGTAGTTTCACTATGACAACAGAGAGGAAGTTAACCCCATTCATGTAAGGGTGATGGTGGGTGGTTCTTGAAAAGCAGTAGGTTTTATAGTACAAAGTATAGTCTGCTCTTTGGAGTTTTGCACCATCTAGTGTCCATTTGGTGTCACAGCACAAAAACTCGCTCTTAAAAACACCAATAAAAGACTATTTCACTTTGTTTTCCGGTTTTCTGTGACATTTTATCCACACCATTAACAATAAATGTAAACAAATGTGATTTTTGTTGTTTTGTGTAAAAAAAAAATTATCAACATGCAACAGCTTCCTCTATCTGAATGGTACTTGTATGCAGTTTGAATGACAATTTGAATCTTGGGAAATGTGTTTTTTCATAATTTGGGTGAACTGGGCTTTTAAACTTTATATAATTATTTAGTCTTTGAGTGGGTTTCTTACCTTGACTTCATCTCTGCAGGGTGGCGAATACGGCACAGATGAGGAAGAGGACGATGATGAGGAAGTCAGTCCGCCGTATCCCAGTGCCATCGAGGTGTTTGAACTGGCAGAGAACGAGGACATGTCGCCTCTGGAGACAGACCCGGAGAAACTGGCCCATAAATACAAAGAAGTGAGAAATGGACTCCTTAACTGGAACATTTCCTTTGTAATCACAGCTTATTTCCTCTAATGTACCTAATATTAACGCATGTATTTAAAATTGTCATCTCTCATTGCTATAAAGCTCCAAATAAAGCATGCGGTGACCCAGGCTGAGATCCAACAGCTGAAAAGAAAGGTAAATTGTTAAATTTATGTTATATTAAATTATATTTAATGCTATAGGCAGAAGGAGCAAAGAATTAGATTATTTTAAGGATCAGAGGTGTCCGTTTACATTATCCTCTGACTGAAATCGATGCTGTACTTGTCTTTCCAGCTGCACCACGCGGAGCAGGAGAAGCAGCGCTGGCGTATGGATAAGGCCCAGCTGGAGCAAACCCTGCAGGAGAACAAGGAGCGTATGGAGAAGCTCGAGGGCTACTGGATGGAGGCTCAGAGCCTGTGCCAGGCAGTGGATGAGCACCTGAAGGAGACACAGTCCCAGTATCAGGCCCTGGAGCGCAAGTACAGCAAAGCCAAACGCCTGATCAAGGAGTATCAGCAGAAGTAAGACAGCGCGAGCACACAGATGAGAGTTAAAAGAGTTGGGCGATATGTTACAGCCTGACACTCTGACTCTACTTCCTTTTTAACAGGGAGATTGAGTACCTGAAGAAGGAGACCCAGCGTTGTGCACAAGTTGGAGCTGAGGCCTCTCTTCTGAAAGAGGAGTCTGGACAACTCCAAGAGCAGGTACAGGAGGTGACCTAGAAGGAAGTTACTTTGGTTTTACTTTTAGCTTTTACCCTCAAATATATTCAATCAATTTTACAACACATCTGTGCCATCTCAGGTTAGATTTGATATTTATGGAGTCCAAAAGGATGAGTTCAACCCCAGCAGCTAATACACTTTTAAAATCAAACAGCATTTTTGTTTTTTATTTATGAGTTAGCTAAGAGGGGGAATGAGATGCAATATAGGCCCCAGTCCGGGTGTTGCAGTTCATGGTCTGTGTCTTAACCCGTAGACCAGCAGGGAACTCCAATAATCTTTCAATTATATATTCATTATATTTCTTAAATATTGTTGCATAATTGTTTACAGCTTGCTAAGGTACTGAAGGTCCACATTTATCACAGCATACTTTATGTCTGAAATCTTTGCACACTGGCAATTCACAACGTTCCTCTCGTCTTTTAGAGCACTGAGCATCATGTAGCGTTACTCTCTGTTTCCTGTGTATTCATTTTCAAATGTTCCCAAAGACTTTCAGTAGGATCAGGATCTGTTGAGAGGGGAGGGAAAGTCTTTAAAGTCAGCACTCTTCTTTGGACTAACAGGCCTGGGATAGCTTTGATGCATGTTTAGGGGGAAAATGTTCGGTTGGAAAATCAATCTTCTTTTAAACCAGAGGGGACGACACGCTGTGCAGAACTTATTTTTGGTGTAGTTAATCAAATGCAAGTCAGCACCTCTTACAGGAATCTCCTTGTCTAAGCTCTTTGCTCACAGCAATACATTTAAACTTGCAGTAGATTCATCTGCAGACTTTCATCCAATTTTCAATAATGGACTTTTGCCACATTTGTCCGAAAAGAAGTTCTCCCGTTCTAAGGCAGCAGCTTGCAGTGTTTTTAACTTCTGTAGCTCTGTCATTATAGAGTTTGTTGACGGCAGGGTCACTTTAGGTCCAACCTGCTCCTGCTTCGAATGAAATCAACTTTCTGAAAGTCCCTCCAATTTTAGTTGCAAGGAAACTTTTAACTGGTTTGTTAGAATATGAGGAGTTTTTTTTTCAGCACTCATGAGAACAATTTGTCCCCAGACTGCTTCAGTAAGTGTTGTGGCCTTTATATAAACCATTACATTGTTTTCAAGTGAAAGCTCTACCCATAGCCACAAAACCTTAGAGGATATATATAAGTCAGTGTGTTGTATTAGTTGTTAAAAGCGTGACGTGGCTACTACTTTTGGACCCTACTGTATATATTTTGTTCACATGCCAAAACAGACTAAACATTGTCATAACTGCCTCTTTTCTCTCGCTTCTCTAGGTGGCTGACCTGGAGTGCAGGGTGGAGGAGCTGAAATCTGAACCTTTATAAAAGCCTTTGTCCGTTTCCGCTTCTCAGAAAGCAGAAGATAAGTGTTATTGTACTTGCAATGACCTGCAGGGTATTTCTCGTCTCCAACTTGAGCTTGGTTTCTGGTTGCATACTGTATATGTGTCCTCAGGCTATTTCGGCCACTTAACCCTTTTAACCATGTTTTTCTGTTAACATTTATGGGAACGTGAAGAACGGTTTTAGCATCACAAATACAGACTCTGTCGAGCTCTAGATGTGTACTGTTCCTTTTTAATTTTCAGAGTTCAGTATTTAATCCCTTAATTTGTGGTTTTGTGACAGACCAGGCTGTTGCTTTTAATTGCCAAAAAACAATTTCCTTTCTTTCTTTTGCCTAGTTTTGTGACCTTTTTTTGAGTTTGTACAGATGTGATACTGTGTGGTTTAACAATCAGTTTGGTTTGTAAAAAATTTTAATGTCTATAACATTTAACATAATATAAACTAATGAGATTGAGGGTTGTTGTATATTTTATGTGATGAAGATGTGTAAATTGGAGGAGATTGCACTGAAGAAGACATCAACAAGGTGCTTCACTGGATTGGAGGAATGAACGGAAACAGTGTTTGAGGTGTCTTCGAAATTGTACAAACAGTAACCCAACCTTCGTAGGGGTCTTGTCACTTAACCTTGAGAACCACCTGCTGCCTACCTTTCAGAAGTGTTTGTGTTTTTTACACATTAGGACTCATTAATGAGCGTCCAATCCTCCGGTTTCAACCCCTCGCTTCTTTCAGAAAAAAGGACCACAGAAACAAGCCTCCACAACTGCTGTGCCACAAATGAAAATGGATCTCTTTCTCTCCCTCAAAATGGATGTTGTCAAGGACTTGTGTAACTGGTATTAGTTAGGACTACTGATATAAGAAACATTACTGGACTGGGATGTTAAAGAAGCCGTTACCAGCAGCAAAGATATAGATTTAAAAAGCTTGTGTCTCTAACCAGCAGCTGCACTTGACACCGCTGTGTGTAGCACATGGAAAACACTGCCAGGTTTATACCTGTTTCAATTTCCGCACAGTTTAAAATGAAATTGAGTCTACTTGTGTCAACTGTCATACCAGTATGTTTGTATAGTTCAGGTAAGACTGAAATATTTTAATTTTACTTAATATTTATAATATAGTCAAGGTGGAAATATGAGCTAACAAGGACAAAAACTGACAAAAGCAATGCAAAAAGCAATGTTCATTAGACAGTTATACTGTGTCTTGTAAAAAAGAAGTAGATCTGGATGACTACAAAAACAAATTTAAGATTAATGAATTGAAAAAAAAACAGGCATGGTTATGAGTATTTTCATAATATTAAGGCTTGTACAGTGCACATGCTTTGCATTGTATGTTTTGTGGAATAAATGGTCAACAGTGATGATAAAGTTGGATGTTTTTATTTCAAAGCAAGTTGACATTGAGAGACAAAAAGCATTTGTTTATGTGACTGTGGGGAGTTATTTTACATCTGTTAATTCATTCATTGCAATACATCCATTGAATGAATGACATGACATTATATTTATGTTTACCTCTTTCAAATAATCAATAAACAAAAACTGAAAATTCTAAACATAATATTTTTGGGGTATGAAATTCATCAGCTTTAAACCAACTTAAGTTAGAATAATGTTATTTACAGGACATTCATAAATTCTCTGCAACTCTTGAAGGGCACAATCGTCAAGTGCAATTCAGTTGCAATGTAGTGCAATTCAGTTTACACTGGCACAAATGTAAGCTCTTTGATAGTTTTTTTTTTTTTTTTTAAGTTCTAAAACTGTGACTACAAGTGCATCTTCTGATGGTGTCTCCTTAGATGGTAGTTTCGGGAAAAGCTCTTCCCGCACTGGGTGCATTTGAACATTCTCTGTCCCAGGTGAAGCATTTGGTGTGCTTTGAGACTCTGCGGTCGGCTGAAGCTTTTACAACATTCGGGGCAGCTGTAGGGCCTCACCCCGGTGTGCTTTCTCTCGTGTCGCTTCAGATCTCCCGACTGCCGAAAGCTTTCCCCGCAGTGGGTGCACAGGTACGGCTTCTCCCCGGTGTGAGTCCTGAGGTGCACGTTCAGCTGGCCGGTGTAGGAGAAGCTTTTGCTGCAGTGGGGGCAGTTGTACGGCTTCTCGCCCGTGTGGATGCGCTGATGTTGCTTGAGACCGTAGTGGTTTGTGAAGCCCTTCCCGCAGTCTGTGCACAAGTATAGCACCTTCACCTGCTGGAAGCACGAGTGAGATTTGAAAGCTTTGGCGTTTGCGCAGCTCTTCCCGCAATGGGGGCAGATACATTCTCTTTCCCCCTCCTCTTCCTCTTCCTCCAGCTGATCCATGAGGGTGTCTGAGTCACAGTGTGACAGATACTCCACTGGGTGGTGCCTTTTGACGTGTTTAATAAGGTAGCTCTTCATAGTGAAGGAGAACTGACAAAAGGAGCATGGGAAAAGCTCCGACGTGCAGTGGTACTTCATGCAAGTGTTGCTCTTCTGATGCTGTTTGAGGTTACCAGATGTAGTGAAGACTTTACCACAGCGCTCACAGTTGTACGATTTTGCATTTACGTGCACCATCTGCTCGTGTCTTTTCAGGAAGCCAGACTTATTAAAGGTCGCCCCGCACTGACCACACTTGTGCTGTCTCAAAGCGCACTTATGTGCTTTGAGCTCATCTGGGTTTGCGTAGGTTCGCTTACAGCGATTACAGCTAAACCATTTGTATTTTTCCAGCTTTCCACTTCTGGCAGCAGGTGCCTCTGGCTCAGTGGAGCTCTTCTCAGCCTGAGCAGGGCTGGTTAATGGCTTCTTGCAGATGGCTTTCCTTCGTTTTGGAGCTATGAGCTTGGTTATGGCAGAAATTTTAGATCTAGCTCCAAGTCGCTGAGGCCTCTGAGAGGGGCCTTTTTGGACAGGTTCAACTGGTTCAGCCACCGAGGGCTGTGGAATGAAGTCTGGATCGTGGCTCTGATCATCACCAGCCGGCACTGGATCATTTTCTGGATTTTCCACTGCGGTCTCCTCTGAGTGATGCTCACCTATGTGCTGCTGAAGGGTGTCCACTGTAGGAAAAGCCACTGAACACTCAGCACAGCTAAAGGGCATGGTAGTAGATTTCTCCGGGGCCTGATTAAGTTTTCCTCCCATTTTGTTTAGCTTTTGGTGACACCGTAGGTGCCTGGTCAGGTCAATGCACTGGCCAAAGCACTTCTGGCACACAGTGCAGATGTACGGGCGTAACCTGTCATGGACACTCACCCTATGCTTTTTGAGGGATTTTTCGTTTGTGAAGCTCTTACCACAGTCTGAACAATTACACTGGGATGTTTCTGCCTCCCCTGCAGGAGTATTCTCAGCTTCAGTTACATCCATAGCTTCCTGTAGATTCTCACTTACATTTATCTGATTTGTTTCCTTAGTTACAGCTGGATCTGCACGTTCTGACCTCAGTTCCGTCAAGCTCTCTTTCTTCTCACTAAGCACTGTGCTTTGATGAGGAACAATGTCTTTTATCACAGCCTGCTTTCTGTGAACTAGCTGGTGTCTGATTAAGCCAGACGCCTGGCTAAAGCTCCGCCTGCACTGTGGACAGCAGTAGGGGCGTCTGTTTGAGTGGACACAAAGCTTGTGCCTCCTAAGGTGAGGGATTTGCTTGAAAATCTTCCCGCAATCACCACACGTATTTGACTCGACCGGATCAACGCGTAACACCACCAGGGATTCTGCAGAGGGACCTGGGTCAGTACTAGGAGCTGGATTTTCAGGCTCAACTGCCTCAGCAGCTGCCGTTGTGCTCTCCCCTTTAGTCTGTATGTGGAAGCATTCTGTGTGTCTCTGGAGGAAGGCCTCTGTAGTGAAGGACAGCTGACAGTGGGAGCACGGGAAGATCTGAGATGTCGCAGTAGTATTACTCTCTAAAATTTTGAAGAAAAAGAGAAAAAAAAATGGATCAAACTGGCTAAAAGACAAGCTAATGGAAAATAGTCCATCAAAAATAACTATAATTGATTCTGACTAGCAAAACATACCTGTTGCATTCAGCTTCATCAACCACACCTGGGTCCAAGCTTCACTAAAACGGGTGAGCAGTTTTTTGCTGGGCCACACCATGAGCTCATCTCCAGGGTGGATGGTGCGACAGCAGTGAAACAGGATGCTGCCTTTGTACTGGACTGCCAGCAAGTTCCTCTCGTCTTTGTTACGAGCAAAATTGACGTACCTGTGCAAGAGGAGACACGGTTAAAAATAAAGTTCAGCAACAAAGACTGAATATGAACGTGAACAGATTTTTAGATGCACCATTATCTGCCATATGAAGAGAGATACCATGAGGTTAACTACAGAACACAAACAGCATGTGCAAAGCATTGACGTGCTGACAATGGAAATGGATTACAAATCCAAATCTTGCCTATTGGAAGCACGAGACAACACCTGGCTATTCTAGTTACTCACTTACTTGTCTGTATGACTGCCCAACCTAGACGTGTGTGTGTGTGTGTGTGTGTGTGAGTGTGAGAGAAAGTGTGTACCTTTCTCACTTTCAGACACCTGGATGCAGTGATTTTTTTGTGACGGGAGTCCAATTTATTTGCCAAATTGAGTTTCAGCGTTAACTCATTTATTTCTCCATGTTAATGCCTTGTGTCGTACTATTCTTTTTCTTTTCTAATATAATTTAAAGGGGAACTGCACCACTATTACACAATACAGATCGTCCTGATACTACTGAATATGTGAAAATAAATTGTTTAAAGCCTTCTGCGGCTCGCAATCTCTGATAAATTGCTCTTCATCTGTGCTACATTAGGTGCTACTAGCACAAGGCAACTGAATCTCTGACTGGACTGTTGGCGGTCGAGTTGCATTGTGGGTGATGTAGGCGGCAGGTTTTGACAAAGAAGAACGCATGGAATAAAAAAAAAAAAGAGGATATCTCTGGTTCTGCTGCATGGAGTTTGATACTTTTTTTATAAAGCTGCCCATCATGAGTCATGTTATAGAGGAGCGACGCTACACCAGTGGAGTACTGAAAGAGAAACACGCATACACAGTCACAATAGCAGAATTCAAAACGTTACCTCATCCAGTTTGAGTGTGATTCTCTGGCAGCATCAATGTACTCGTACTCATCTTTTCCCTTGTCAATCTGCAGAAAATAAGAATATTTAAAAAAGACATAGTACGCACAAATAACAAAGACCACAATAAGAAGAATCTAGAGAGGAGAAATCTTGAGACTCAATGTCACTTTTGTCATTCTACTGATTTTGGTGCTCACCTCCCAGGAGAAGTCACTTGCCACGGCGTTCTCCCTCGATGTCACCTCCCCCTCATATGGACCAAAATGCATTCCTGGAGACACTATTGGTCCATGATTTATGACTCCGACGCCTGCACTTGGAATACTAGATCTGCCTATCATCAGGCCATAGGGAATACTGAGGAGGGCCCTCTGGGGGATGCCCATGCTCGTTGGAAAGTCGAGAATAAAAGATGGGCCATTAATGTTAGCGGGATCACTCTGGTCCTGGAAGAGAGTCAGACACTCCTCACAATCTGTGAAATGTAAAAAGGCAGGAGAACGTAAGAATGCATGAATAAATGAATGATATTACTCACATGCACGTTAATACAGCATACTGTGTAGCTCAAGTGGATATTTAATCAGCATAAACATTTGATCTACTGTTGCTGTACCATGTTTAGCTCACATGTCTCCTTATTTGTTTTTAATTCCAGTCATAAGAAGAGCAATAAACAACAACATTAATGCCATCTGTTCATTTTCGGTCTTTAGTTTGTGGATCTACAAGTTGTCCAAGATAACGCAGAAACTTTGTATTAAGCCCAAGGATGCTGTGGATAGAATTATAAGAGGAAAGAAAGTCTCTTGCTTACAGAAGCCGGTATCAGTCTCTGGGTTGTCTCCATGTCCCACAGTGTCCAGTAACCTCTGGATTGGCGTTTCTGCTGGCTCTAAAACCTGTATCACTATAGCAGCAGAACAAAGACGCTATTTTAGAAACGCACACATGAAAACAAGTCATATCACCAGTTTAAACGTTCAAACAAACTGTCACATTAAAGACACGTATCCTACCTGCAGGAGTGCTGTTTTCGGGGGGCAGACACTCCTCTGTTATAACAACCTCCTCGGTTGTCTCTACCCAGTCCACACCGTCGCTCTTGTCCGCCATGAGTGCAGACTGGACGGAAACTATGAACGACCAATCTTTATGACAGCTGCTCACACAAGAAAATAGGTTAGAAAAGGCGAAAACAACGCGTTAGCACGTCAGGCTAGCTCGCTAAACATCAGTCAGTAAACTGTGTGAGCTGGCTAACATTACATTTCATGGAAGAAGATGGAGAAGAACCGCAGTTTTGATAAGATTTAGTAGAAAGAAAGTTCTCAAGTTAGTCTGTTCTGGCTAGTAATTTGCATTATCATGGCTAAGCCGAGAGTTAGTTACTGCTATGTGGCTATCACAGAAGCACCAGCAAGATGAAGCATTATAAGACCGAATAACGTCATCATTTTTACATTAATGTATACAGACATTTAAGTTACACCTACTCGAATCCCAATTAATCCTCGGACTGTTTGCCAGCCACAGTTACAGACTGCTTTTAGCTGCTGAGCATGCTGTTAATATCGGACTGAATCCAGGAACTTCAGGCTTTCCCCGGAAGTAAATAAACCCCCTCTTTCAGCATAAGGGTCCACATTTATGTCGGTTCTTTTCTAAATAAAAGCGGTAACTTTGGTTCACATTGCCTATTTGCGATGTATCTACTCTCACAATTGTTTATAGTATGTTTCCCATTGAGGCCAACCAGCAACATCAACGCAAACATGCCTATTTTATCTTAACCAGTAATCGTATTGCTTAACTGGTTATATATTCACTGCCATCGGAAGTCTATCATTCATCGGCGCCGCTGGTGTAGTGGTATCATGCAAGATTCCCATTCTTGCGACCCGGGTTCGATTCCCGGGCGGCGCACGTGTTTTTGTACTTAGAGCTGCTAAAATGAATAAAATCTGTGTCCTCTAAATAAAACACATCGTTAGATTAACTGCAGCTAATATATATTGTGGTATTATATGCAGCTGGAAAGTTACTTTTGTGCACAAACTGTTTGCTTCGTGACACGTTACTCTTATTGCAATGTCTAGTTGCTATCACACAAAAGTCTCAAGAGAGTTGGCAAAAGCAGAACAAACAAAACTGCTTGGAGACGGAATCTGAATACCTGCAGCCTGTTGCACCAGCTGTGTGTAAGTTCAAACTTAGCCTAGATATAATGTAAAATATTATTAAGTTGTGATTTATGCATTACTAAAATAAAAGCGGCTGCACCACGGACAGGAGTTACAACATAACTCTAAGTCACAACTAAATAGTTACACATGCCCCCTAAGGTGGTGTGAATTATAAAATGTACAGAATTATACTCACTGACAGAGTGCAAAGGAGGCCGAAATAAATATGTATGTGCAGGTTTCTTTATGTACATGAGATAGGTGGATATTATAAGATAAGATTAGATGTTCCTTTATTGATCCCCATGTAGGAAATTCAAGTCAGACACAGCAACACAAGTACAGAAGTGTAAAAGTACAATAAAGAATAATAAAATAAAAGTACTTTGAAGATAGAAAATATAAGACTATAATTAAAAAGATATTCACTATATGCAGAATGCAGTAGAATGGTGTGCAAAATATTTTAAACAGCGTATAACAAAAAATAAATTGTACATGTGCATATTTGCAAGACCTAGTTTGTGCAAAGAGTTTGTGCACAGTAGGTTACATTTATGACAGTATGCACAGTTTGAATGACTTAATTTATGTTTAAAAAAAACAAACAGAATTTCAACAATAAAAAAAATGCACAATAAATAATAAATAGTTTACAGATGTTAGAATAATAGTTGATTTAAGTTAGTTAGAACAGCATCCATTCCCTGCTGCTGGCGCGTAGAACCTGTTGCCGGGCAACCTGCTGAATGCTGCCTGTGTGTTTGTTGATATTGTTCAAAGCAACGAGGTAGACAACAGAGAGCAGCACAACAAAAAAAGCAACTTCACGTTACAGCATCGAAATGAAGTCTGCTAGATTTGGCAGGAGCGTGTCGTTCAGCGAGAGGAGCTTCACCGCGGCGGAGGGATGTCTCAGCATGTGCGGGATGTGTCCATCTTGCGCCTTTGCCCCCGAACCACCGGCTTCCACTCGGTGCTTGTGGACGGTGTCGGATGAGTTCAAGAGGAGGTTTCTTGTGGAGCTGCTTTTACGGTGCAGAAACACCCAGCTGCTGGAAAACGTCCGGAATATGCTGGATGTAACGTCGTGGACTTTATTCACCTACGCCAGATCCAGGAGCCCGACTTCTCCTCAGGATTTCCCCTGCCGCGGTGGTCCAGAGGGGCCGCTGGACGGGAAACCACGGGGCATGAACATGAGTCAGATCTGGGACTGGTTCAATGGCAGCCCGGACTGGATCAAATCACGATATCTGTGCCGTCTTTTTTCACTTTGTGACTCGGAGCTATTACGCATGGTGTCTAATTTGACCAGCGTGCTTCTGGTCAGACAAAAACGGGGGTTTCTGCAGTTTAATGGTAAAGACAGCACAAAGATTTATGCTTTTTGAGTTTTCGCATATATTTTTTTCCCAACAAACTCTTAATTTCATATTTTTCTTAGTTATTCTTTTATTTTAAACTGCGCAAGCTCATCTTCTGAATTGTATATTTAAGGTGCAGAGAGTGCAACGCCACTGGTTGCCGCTAGAGGCCGGTAAAGGACCCAGATACAGTTGCACAGTTGGCTGTTCTAGAGATGGCTTTTCATTTATGAAGTGATTTAATAAAACAAGATCTCTGCTCAGTGGATTTGTAACGTTTAATTATCAGTGCTACCTATCACATAATAATTGCATGTCCATTTCAGTGAAAGGTCGCAGTACCAATCAACGTGATCAAGATGAGGACTCAGAAGACCCTGCTCTCATGGTAGTGCCTGGATCCTCCAAGTCTGTGTCTGGAGTGAGCCGATACCGAGATTTCATAGGCTGCCTACCTGTTGATCTGTCAAAGAGGATATTAGGTAAGTCCAGGTTCACTGATATTAGCAGTACCTTTCAACAGAAGCACATGTTTGCAGCCTGCCAGATATTTGTGTTCTTAAAATAATAATTCAGTTAGTTTTATATTTTCTGATGTATTATTTTATGCAACATATACTTTGATAATGTGCACTTCTTTAATGCTTCAAGATTGCACACACACACACACACACACACAAACAGTAGTGGAGCTGAGTTCTTACTCTCTCAGTGTTCAATCTGAAGTGTCCATTGACATTTTCTTCAGTTGAAGAATCAATCAGTCTAACAGCACTGTGGGGATTCAGCTTAATTACTCAAGAATTCTCTCATTAAATCCACACCATTCAAGTGGATATAAGAGTAACAAAGCCCTGCTGAGCAACCAATTGGCTGTTTGCTCCCAGTGACCTTTGTCTGCAGGTTAAAAGTATGTATTACTTAAAGGAAGAATATGACAAACAAAAAGGCGTCTATGCAGTTTAATGCACTGGGACAAAGTAATGAACATAACATTTTTGGTTAATTTTGTTAGTAACTCCAATTTTAAACTCTTAATAACGTGCATACCCTTTGACATTATACTGTGAATGTGTGTCCAGGTCTGTTAGGTGAGCACGCTTTGAGGCGCTGCCACAAGGTTTGTCGATACTGGCAGCACCTTGCACAGGAAACCACAGAGGAAATCAAGCTCAGAAGAATTTTCCAGGATCAAATTGAGGCAATGATGAAGGTGGAGCATTTGTGATGATATTGAAATCAGATCCCTTTTTTTGATGTGACAAGTTTAACAATAACATATGTTTCTAATAAAATTATTTTAAATGAAATTACATAATCAGTAATAGTTTTTTTTCCCCTGTCCTAGAGGTGCAGAGGTGTTAATATAGTCAGTCCTACTTACGCCAACATTGTCAAAGTCCCTGTTCCTGCCAAGGATGATGAGGAAGTGGATGTTCATCCTAGTGTGCACAAGGTCAACAAATCAACACCTCATCTCTGTAAATGTCAGTTTTTGTACCAGAAATGCAATTGTACATACATGGATTATCTTTTCTTTCATTGGTCCCACAGGTTGAGCCATTTGCAACTGCTTATGCCAAAATCAAGACCAAGACAGTGCAAATGGAAGAGAGAAATGTTTACTGTGGCGCATATTTTACCACAGTGCTGCTGGACAAGTTAGTGTGATCAACCTTCTTTTTGGATGTAGCTAGAGGCTCATTGGTACTAACAAACACACATTGTCATACCACGAATGTCATCTGGTTGTGTGTTGACAGAGAAGATCTTCTGCGGGTGGTGGGCTACAAAGGCGGACCGTTAATGGCCACGAGTACCAAGGACCGCGCGGTGAATCTGCTTTACGTGGCGTCAGAAACAAAAGTCGTATCTGTGATGAAGGGCCATGTTGGCAGCATTCGGGCAGTGCTGCTCTGTGAGGACAGAGACCTGGTGATAACCGCGAGCTGCGACGCAAGTATCAGGTGAAGAGGAGATGGAAGCTAGTGCATGTGATGATACATATTCCTCCTTGTGACTTAAGTACATTTGTTAGGCTGGGTGTTTATTCGTTGTGTAATCACATCTATAGGTGTTGGAATTTGAAGACAGACAGGTGTGTGATGGCGCTGTATGGTCACACTGGCACTGTCAACTGTCTGGATGTCCACGATGATAGACTTGTCTCAGGAGCCAAAGATTGTCTAGTGAAAGGTAAGCAGCCATTGATGTATAGCATTCAGATCATTCATAATTAACTGTAATATTAACAAACCTGGCCGTCTGGTTGTTCCAACACATCTTCTACCAATCGCACCAAATTTTCTCCAAGAAGAAATGGCCTTCAGGAACTTATTCCTTGAAGCAGGTTTACCGAGTTATCTGGATTGTGTTGGAGCCTCCTAAGGTCTGGAAGATGAAATAACCTTTTTGAGTTTTGTTCAAAAAAGTTATTCAGTAAATATTAAAAGTAAAAATTCATATTTAAAAATTCAGTGTCTATTTCACTTGTAGGATTTTTTTTTTCCTATATATGTTCCAAAATTGATTATATTGCGAGAATAAGTTGTAAGTTTTAATGTTTTTTTTACTAATACCGGTATGTGCAAATAAGCTAAACTAAACCACCACACTGTCAGTGTGGAGTCTACAAACAGGGAAGCATTTTGAGGATTTTAATTTCAAGCACCCCAGTTCAGTCCAGTGTGTAAAGATCAACCAAAGAGCCGTCTATAGCAGCTGTGATCGGGGCCTTGTCAAAATATGGGACATGGAGAAGGCATCGCTGCTCAGGGTGAGAATATTAGTCATTTGTGGAGCAAATGTGGAACTTTTTTTAACCTGTATGTCGTCCACAATTGATAATACCTATGTGTCTGTTCACCGTTGTTGATTTTTTTGGTATAATGGCCTACTTTTCCAAAGGTGATTGATGCCCACAGGAGCTCAGTGAAGTGCCTGTTCATCGACGAATGGCACTTCTTATCTGGGGACGCTAGCGGTCAGGTCATGGCCTGGAGCATCAACAATGACGCTAAACAGTCGCTTATGACTTTCAGCCACCCAAAGTAAGCAAGAAACTTTTGGAGCTTAAATCCCCAAAAATTAAGCATTTTTATTTTAATCTTGTAGGATTACAGTGTATTTATTTTTTTACTTTTCTTACCTTAGTAACTTTTCCCTGACAGCGTTAAACATTTGTAACTAATAGAAATATTCTAACTGTTACTACCACCTGAACATCTTGTGTGAAATATCTTGCCTGCTGTTTTAATTATAGTATTCTCTACATAACCCTAAATGTTAAATTGAATGCTGTCTTTTCTGCAGGGAGGTAAAATCTCTCACTCTCGTCTACCTCCGTGTCATTACTGGCTGTCTTGATGGAAAGATTCGCATATTTAATTTCCTCACCGGAGATTGTCTCAGAGACATAACGGCAGAGGCTGAAACAGGCCGAATACTGTCCCTGCACTTCCATGACAACAGGTTAGCCAGATGCTTGAAAGCAGGTTTATTTTTTGTTATGGTATAATGTTCAGATGTTGTACCAATGCTAGTATGCATTTGTCTTTCCTATTTTATTTTACATGCTACTTTAGTATCTTAGTGAACACGACGTCCAGTGTGAAGCAATACCAGTTTGCCAAAGTGTTTTGGGACTACACGGCGTCGACAGAGGGGGGGCAGGGTGATGTTTCTGAGAAATCTGCAGCTTTGCTCAGAAAGATTCCCCTCGCCTCTGTTGGGGCCGATCATTCGGCAAAAGTTGATTTAACCAACACCACCTTCCTGCCTACCCCCGCTAAATGGCGAGCACAAGGTAAGCATGCTCAACATGTCAGAAATAGAGGAAATATGTTTGAAGTTCAGTTGGTCCCTGTTGTTAATGAAACCTTTCCTTCATAGCCAGAGAGTGCTTTGCTAAACGGTCGGTGATGCTGAGCGAGAAGGCAACAAGTGAACGGATAAAGAAGAGGGGTCTCCACCATCCTCTGACACGTGACTCCATCCTCCTCAGGGTCAATGCAATCCAGAAGGCCCAGTGCACGGACGAAGTGAGCATCAACATGGAGTGCAACGCCAGGCTGCGAGATTCCTGGGACCCTCTGGATCCTCCGCACTCCGACCTGCAGGTGCTGAAACAGAGGCTGCAGACTCCGATATATCCACTGTGGCACACACATGGCGGTGATCCCCGAAGGGCCAAGACCTGTGTACCAATTTCAAAGAGAGCTGTTGGTCAAAATGTGACAAACACGATGCAAGGCAGAACGGAGCCTCGCAGTGCTAACACACACAGGGCAACCAAGAGAGTGAATGGATGCGATACAAGGGCTCCTGAGTGCATGCACATGAGATCACAACCTAATCCAAAATGCTCCATGAAAACTAGTACCAGCTTTCCGAGAATCAGCGCTGTGAGTTCATTCAGAGAGCAGCGACGGTTCTCACAGTGAACCAGCTGGAAGACTGTATCCGGTCCAAGAGGGATCTCATGCAGAGCTGTGAGCAAATCCTGTCCAAGAGGAATACGAAGCAGGAGAAAACAGTGTGAAGAAAGTCACATGTGCATCAATAGATGAAAATGTATTCCTTTTTTATGATAATGTGTTAGCAGAACTCCACTCACCACTGCACGGTGGGTGTCCTGGACATCTTTGTTGTCCAAGGCACCCTGTTTTATAATGTGTTGCTTCATTAAAACTCCACTAGGGGTCAGTATTGTATCACCTGATTGTTACTGGATGCGGCTCCAGGGTTATTATAAAGTAGTTTCCTTTAAGTTTTATTTTTTATGGTTCTTTATACTTTATTTCGAGTCAGATTATTTGTAATTTACAATTATTGTAATTTTCTTTTTTTGATATATTAACTTATTAACTACTAATACTAACATAGTTATATTTATAATAGGAGGGAGAAGCCAGTTTTTATGCAGTGTCTTTCACATATTTCAGGTAATTTTTGCTTCTAGAGTTTAATTTCAGCCAAACTTTTGAAATAAAAAGGTTTTTTTTCATATTCTGGAATACTTTTCCTTTTTCCTTTTTGCATTTAACTTTACAAAAATGTCTTTTTTACAAGCATGTATTCTCAGATTCCAACAGTTATAATTATCAGCGCCTGCCACTTAACACCTGCTGTTTGAAACAGCGTGTTCACATTTTTTTGTAAGAAGGATATTCGAATCTGCTAATTTTCCTTCAGTTAATGAATTACCCTGAAAAACACTCCTTCAGCAATCAAGCAACAGCAAATCTATGTGGATTTTTAGCTTCTGCAGTACTTCAAACAAGATGGGAGAAGTCATCAGATTGAGAGGAGTTTGTTCCATCCAGAGAGACCTTTCACCCTGCCACCTGCCCTCTAGCCCCGGTGCCTTGAGGGCATCATTAGGAGCGAGGAGGTTGAAGATCAGGGAGAAGGTCCTCTGCTTTGACGGCAGCAGCACAACAGCTGGGCACCCGTGAATAACAAAGGGTTATGAGCAGAACTGACTGGGTAAGACGTCCCACTTTGGAGAATCACTTCTTTCAGGAGCGCTTTTGCTGCTAATTAATTTGATCTGCAGAGAACGGGGGATAATGGCGTCTCCCCCTTTTTTCTCCTGTGGCACTGTGACGTAGGGAGACAATGCAATTCCCTCCTGCCACCCCGAGCTCAGCTTAGCTTCATCATGCAGCACAGCTCCCCCATTGTTTCATCAGGTATGGGGTCTCTTGTCCAGGACCGGCGGAGCTGCAGGGGGGGATAATGAGCGTAAAATCAAAGCAAAGTTAGAAAAGGGAAAGTCTTCATGGAGGAATGCTCTTAGACCTTCTGCTCCCTCGAGTAGGCCCAAGGGTTGGCTGGGGAGAGGAGGGTACAGGTTTATTTATGCATGAGGAGAAGCTTGAAAGAAATGACAGTTCACCCTCTCGCAGTGAAAGAAGGTTTGAAGGTTCGAGAGAAGGCAACAAAAAGACAATTCAGTATGACCCAGCCGACCTTTGCTCCATATGGATCTCCATCTCCAAAGGCGGATATTTGCATCATAGTTCATTTGTCAAATAAATGTTTTAATTTTTGTCATGCTGTGTCAGCAGCAGGTTTGAGCTCTTAACTCGGTTAGACTATAACCCTATTTCCAGACCAGGTCAGTCCAGGCCAGTCATGGTATAAAATGTGATTAACCAAATCATGGTCTGCATGATCTTTTTATATTTGCATGTCATTCAGACGGGTGGCTGACTTGCCCTGGAGCTGTCCAGATATCACACCGTTACCAGGTCTAACGAGATGGGCATCAGATGCAAAAGCCCAATGAATATGCAAATCACACCATTCTCATGGGGCGCTGACTTGCGATAAGACTGGGGACTAAATCTATCCTATTGTGGGAAACATACTCTGGACATTGTTCTGAAAGGCAGCCATATACTGTGCTGTATCCTAGAAACTGCTGGAGAACTGAAGCTAAGCTTAAACAAGGGTCATAACGAACGACTTCAAGGCCTGACAGAGCAGTGACATCAACACATGGGAGCGACGACAAGTGCCTTGATCTTAGGACAGCTTTAAACGCCAGGCCACACGGCCAGCACGGTTTCCAAATGTCCTCTGTTAGGATTCAGTAGAGCCAGGCTGGAAACAAGATCCATATGCCTTTCTGACCTCATTTGCAGATAGAGATCATAAGCGAAAGGGGATACAGCCAGAACGAAGGGAGGCAATTAACAGGAACACCATTACCGAGATATGGGACTGATTAACATCCACATCCAGCCAAGCCAAATAGATAAGAGGGAATCTGATTGCTCATTGATTGGATCTCGGCGGTGCCTCTGCAGTGGGCAGGTTCTTGTTTTCTAAAGTTGGACCTCGCTGCATTCAAGGGCCCCTGATTGAGCCAAAAAGAGCAAAGTGAAACCACTGTGACCACACATCAGGAAGATGATCAAAGAGGCTACTGCAGGCTTCTGGCTCCTCGTGTACAAGACTAACCCCCAACAGATGATTGTGCTAAGTTGTTACTCACAGATGGCTCAGTGCTTACGCGTGTCAGAGAGCACAGATATGGGCTGCAGAGTTGACACCTGAATTAGCTGAGGTTGATGTAAATACTTCATTCCATATAAAGAGCCATTGTGTAATCGGACTGTAAAGGTAGCAAGATTTTCCCCCCTCGCTCTTGATTTTGTTTGTGTTTATTTCATTAAGTTTAAACTTTTTTTCTTTTTCATTTAGGAATTGAGTGATTGTGCCATCTGTTTCTGCAGCGCGGCATCTGGAATGTATTTTTGATAATTGCAAAGAGATTATTTTCTATCTGCAAGACCTATTCTATACAAAAGACCTATACAAAAACAAACAAAAACAAAATCAAACACCGGTGTTTCACCACCAGAGGCTATGGCATATATTACATTTAAAGTTGGACGTTTCTGTGCCACTATTGACAGACAGCCATGATGTTTGGAATTTGTCCTCTGGGGGGCCCACTAGACCTGTTCATACACCCGTTCAGTGGCAAGTCCTGAATGTTTCAACCAATTAGGAGTGTTCAAGTCTCATCTCTTCTATGTGTTTTTGACTGCCACCTCACATAATCTCTGTTAAGCGTTAACTGTATGACCTCACAATTACTTAGAAATAATTTTGTAATTAGTGTAAATTGCGTGTAAAATAACACTACCTTCTTTTCGCTCTGTATATTGCTATACTTAAACTCTCATAAAAGAAATAAGAGCAGAAATTCAGTGCAGTCTGAAACTTTAATAACAGGCTTTACAATCCATTAGGTTTTCACGGCATGTCAATGTGAATGTGTCTCAGTGCGTCACTTTTAAACAAGAGAGAAGGGTGTCATGAATTGACCTGTGGTCTCAATGGCCCCCAGTCTTCACAGAGCAGCTCCAGACACATGCAGGCGACAGTGTTAAGTGTCATAATTTCACTATTTTCTCAGACATAAATATGGAGACGTAAAAGTCAAAGGTCAACTGCATAAAACTTCCCTATTTAGAGGTCAGTAGACGCAAATCGTCTAAGGGCGAGGGGGGGGGGGGTCCTGGGAGGAACAAGAAGGCAATTCACAGGCGAAAAGTTATGGCAAACGGCATCTCACTCTACTTCCTGCCAAAGAAGAACAGAAAATTAATTGTAACACTGGACTACAAAGGTCTTCATGCACCACAGAAGAAGAACAAAACACTTAAGTGGGCCCAGACTGCAGCTGAGGATTAGAGGTCTTGTGTTGGAAGCAACTGTACTTTTCTTGATATCTCACTGAAGAGGCATTTGAAAATGGTGCTGCCGCCATTTTCCTATTTAGACTATTATCTAAATGGTGACTGGCTACAATACCATCTCCACAATAAACAAAAGTGCTTCTATTTATGGAGTTTCAACAACACAGCGACAGTGTGAAAGAGAGTTTGGGACAGCTAATGGACATCTTTATCAGTGCTTTCCTCATAGCTTGAGTCATGCACTTAATCACAGTCTGACAAACAAATAGCTGTTCGCTCATGTCTGCTACAGATGTTTGCTCTCCTCTGAATCCTGATACTAGCAGAGCTCTCGCTGTTTGGAGAATGGTACCTGATAAGAAAGGGCCTCCCTGACTTGTGGGTCAAGCGACTGCACATGCATAGACACACGTACAGAATCTCACTCTTAGGGGAGCTTTTACAGCTGGATTTGGGTTCTTAAATGGGCTCTGGTACATTGTCTTTGTTGAAAAGTGAGACATTTTGTTTTCATTAATCAACTGTTGCTGTCATGACCCACTCCACTCAGGGTGTTATCATATCATACAAAAACTTTGTGTCTATCTCAAAGATTTTCATTTAAATAAATGTCTCTTAAGGCACTATCGCCAAATTAGGTAACACAATGGTGACTGAGCCTTTAGCTTATGAAAGTATTTCAATATTCAATATTTGAAGTATTACAAACTGGGTGTCTGTGACATTCCTGGAAAAAATGGTTCAATCACCATTGTTTTAACTAATTTGGCAATGGATAGTGACTTAACAGACATTTATTTAAATGAAAATCTTCAAGATTGCCACTTTAAAGTAGATCCCGAGATTATTCAAGCAATTCAGGCAACTTCTGAAAATGTTCGCTGCTATTTACCCTGCAGCTAAATTCACAATCTTTTTGTAACTCGCCCTATATGCGTCACAACAAATGCCACTTTCCAGACACAATAACCCGACTGCTGTTACTCTCTCCTTGCTTGACCCTGGCCCAGGAAGAGCCTTTTTTGGAGCTGAGGCGAACCAACGGGTGTCCTAGCTTAGATATTTCACAGCTCAGCGGGTTTTCTAGCATGTTGATACAAGTGCTGGGAAATAACACACAGCCGGTTGATTCATGCCATTTGTGTTTTTCATTTAGTTGTCATGTGCAGGACTTTTTTTTAGGGGACCTGGGGATAAAACTGACCCATATTAGCAGCAGATGTTTTGGGTCATGGAGTGGAGTGTCTTATGTGCTTTCCCAGGGGCCCGTGTGGTGAGAGGAGTATCAGTCATGGCCACCAGAGGGGCAGCTGTATGAGCAGGAAGAGCATTTTTGCAACCTGAAGGTTTGTTACTGGAAAAGGCTCAGTTTAAACCCCCTGAGGGGTGAAAGACTAAAATTGTTCCTTTATCAGCAACCGTCACCCTACCCTACGTACAGACATTTGCAGCTGAACAAAGCTATAAATGTTACTGTCTAGACACAACATTGTCCTATTTTTTTTTCTTGTGTAGGCTAACCAAAATGGCCTGGGTTTGAAATTCAAGTGAAATTTGTTGAACATTTTCCGGTGTGTTTCAGCCACATATGTCTGCAAGTAAAGCATTCAGGTCAAAAAGACAAGGTTGGGGGTTTAGGCTACTTTGTTCTGGTTGTTAACTAGTGAGCTTAAAGGAGTAGACATTTTGGGAAATGCAAGAGTTTCTGAAGCTTGAGTTTAGCACATATACTGAAAGCACAGGGAAACTGCTAGCTTGATTCTTTCCAAA